TTTTTTTTTTTGCACCAAAGTACACTTCCCTTTGCTTTCCATTTTTGTAAGAACTTGTTGAAGCACCCTCCTAGTGCTCCTCTCTCCTTTAGCCCTGGGCTGGGTTGTGCCATGTGGTTTCAGGAGACAGATTCTCGATGTAAGAGAGCAGAGATTTCATAGGTGACAGACACATGGTTTGGCAGTGAGAGCCAGTATTCTACACAGAAAAGCTGGGACTTCCAGTTGCTGCGAGCATTTCAGCATTTTGGGAAGCGCGAACAAGCTCCAGGGCTAAGTATCTTTTACGCACAGTGGTTGAATGAACGCAGCAGGAAGGGTGCTGGTACAGAGCAGGGAAACGCGCAATCGGGAAATCGTGAGCCCCAGAGTCCCCCTTTAGCTGTTCTTTCCCCATCACCCTCTGTGAAATCTTGATGTCCTAGCCGCACTGCATATCTGCCTACTTAATGTGTGCATCTGTGTGCTTTATTCACAATCCGTGCACCCCCTCCTGAGTGCTATTGTCCCTATGGAGAACACAGGTGCTTAGATGGAATCTTGCTAGTTCATGTGATGTTATTTAACAAAATGAATGAGGCTAAAATGTTTTTCGCCCACTATTGAGTGTCATTTCTGCTTTGAAAAATGAATTTCTCCCCTCTCACGGCTGGCAGTTTACAGATGTGGATAATTGCTTGGCCGGATTCTCTGGCCCCTGCTGGGATGAAGGAGAGAGTTTTGAAACTCCTGGGGAAGCTCAAAGTGTCCTCCCATCCAGCCCTTGCCTTCAATGCTTGAGGATGAAAACTTGTCCCTAGGCCTGCTTTGAATGTATTATTATTATTATTTTAGCTTTTAGAGCAGCTTTGTGGATATTTAGTTCACGTATTTAAAATACACAGTCTGATGGACTTCTGTCACTACCAGCAAGTTCAGAGCCTTCAATAAAAAGTCCTGCACATGTAGCAGTCACTCCCATCCCCCCCTCTCCCAACCTCTTCCCCCACCTCCCAGCCCCCACCTTGGGCAGCCTCCATGTGCTTTCTATCTCTATAGAGCTGCCTCTCCTGGGTGTTTCTTCGACGTGGAGACATGTGATCCGCGGCCTTTGGTGACTGTTTTCTTTCACTTAGCACAGTGTTTGCAAGCTGCATGCACCCTGCAGCGAGTGTTGGTGCTCTGCTCCTCCTGTGGCTGGACACACCACAGTTTATCTGTCCACGCATCAACTGGTGGATGTTTAGTTTGTGGCTGGTTGTCGGCGACTGTGGATGGTGTTGCTGTGTGTTCATTTCTGTTGGATGCATACCATTCTAAATTCCCACTAGTAACTGGCGAAGGTTCCAGTGTCTCCACATCCTGGCCAACACTCACTATTACTCATCTTTCGATGACAGCAGTCCCGGTAGACGTGAAGGGGGATCTTCCTGTGGGTTTGACTTGCACTTCCCTACTGGCCCATGATCTTGAGCATCTTTTCTTGTGCTTACCCTCTGAGTTTCTGATTCTTGGAGAACACAGGCCACTCGCCTTAATCTCAGTGGAATCTTTTTAAAAGAATAACCAAGCACTTGAAGCAGCGCTGCAGGCTGCCTCATCTGCCAGGGGCATGTGATAGCCAGCGCCCCCTGCAGGTAGTCCAATGCACGCCTTTGTACAACTTAGGAAAATGCACCCCACTTACTCTCAAGAGCCTTTTCTGCTACCCACTAGGAGACCATCATTATGGTCATTGTGGTACAAATGGTGCCTCTGGAGCTGTTCCGTGTACAACCCACACAACACAGGGGAGCCCTGATTGATTTTCTCTGAGACAGCAGAGAAGGAGGGCCAACATGACGCCCCGTCATTTTGTTACCCTTGGAAATTTAGCCCTATCAACCTCTCCTTCTGATTTCTTCAGCAGCTCTCAGATTTGATCCTTTTTCTACGCTGACAGGTTTGTTGTGCCTTCACACCCCCTCATCAACGTGGGTAGAATAATACTTGTATTATTTGTATAACTCCCTAGGGAAGGGTTACATAATTTTATCTCCCACCCCCTACCAGGGAGGGAGAGGTTGCCATCTTAATTCAAAAGTTTATACATATATGAACATGCATAAACTGATGAACTCTTTTATAAATGAGTTACAGCCAAGAACTGCTTATTATCTCCAATATTCATTCTCCCCATCTTCCTTTGGGAGCGGGACTCCTGAGGTTAGCAGCACACACGGCCGCCTTGCTGATGGCTATGTTCCCTAACCTGCTGGAAGCTATACGTGTCTGTGTGACTGGCTTTGAGCAACGAGATGTGAGTGGTGGAAGGGGTGTGTGCACCTTCCAGGCCATGCCCTCAGGAGGAAAGGATGTGACCTTTGCTTCACCTTTTGCCTTTCCTGTTGACTGAACACAGACACGAGGCCGCAGAAAAGGAAGCAGTCATCTTGGATCCTGACGCAGAAGCCCTGTGATCTGTACTTTTTGCTTCATGGAATAAATCTTAAATAAAATATTTCCAGGAAGTCAAATGTTCTACCATGAATTCTCCTTCCAGCTTCATAGCAGCAGCTAATGGCTACATTATAGACTAAATACATGTTTGCTATAAATAACATTGTTACTTTATAACCGTTATTTGTCAAAAATCTTTCTTCAGGGTGGGCATTTGGTGCGGTGGTGCGGATGCGGCTGGGAAGGCCCACATCCCATACGGGGGAGCCTGGGTTCGAGTCCCGGCCATGCTTCCGACTCCAGCTTCCTGGATGCAGCAGCTAATGGCTCAAGGACTTGGGTGACTGCCACCCACAGGGGAGTCTCAGATGGAGTTGTAGGCTCCCAGCTTTGGCCTGGCTGGGGCCCAGCTGTGTGGGCATTTGAGGAGTGAGCCAGTAGACAGAAGATCTCTGTCTGTCTGTCTCTTTCTTTCTGCCTTTCCAATAAATGAAAATAAATTAATTTTAGAAATTCTAAAAAAAAAGTTCTTAATTTAAATTTGTGTTTTTGCTACTTAGCGAGCTTCTTCAGATGTAGGGCCATGTTTGATTTCTGTTTATCTCTGATGTCCAGTATAACACCGCCCATATATAAAGTGCTCTATAAATATTTGTTTAGATACCTGAGTAAGTTCATGAAATGTAGCCCACTACCTGCTAGGTCTGGATATTGGATATTTCGCTCTATGTTCCAGAAATGCCTTCCAGTACCTAATAGCTCCCTTTCACTGAGGGCAGAGTATTATAGGTCTGTCCGGCATCTTTCATGTCCTCAGCACTGGGGCTCAGAAAGGGCAAGACACACATGGGAGGGCTTTACTTTCCCATAATTGACAAGTCCCTGGATCCCTGGGACGGCAAACAATCCCTCCAGGATGCTGCCGCCTGTGATCACGTGCCTCAAGGTAGAGTGTGTGGAGTACAGGCTTTGGAAGTACCTGGAGTGAACGTCTGGGGGAACAGGACTGTGGCCTGAGTCGTGGGATTTCAGCAAGAGGTAGGAAATAGGAACAGGATCTCATAGGTAGAGAAACTGAACTGTTTGGGAGAGGAGTGCTGAGCCTTTTTCTGGGCCAAAAGCATTGCAAGAGCTGAGGTGAGAGACCTCAGAGGGCTGACATGCCCTGGAATCCAGTGGAGAGAAGGGCAGTGAGGAGGGTGAAGGGAGAGGGTGGGGCAGATCCAGCTCCGAAGGATGCCCGGTGGAGAGCCTTGATGGTGAAGCTTGCTTTGCTCAACTTAAACCTGTTCCACCCAAAGTTGGGTCTTTCCAAATTATGCAATAGTCTGAAATAGTCGAGTCTAAGAGAATGAATGTTTCTGCACCAGGTTCAAGTTTGACCAATGCGTTGTTGATACTCTGCAGGATTTTGGTATTCTAAATCACATATAATTATAGTATTTTGGGCAGAGAAGCCATAATCATCATTTTTTAAAAAAATCACTCTCAGTTAATTTCATGCTTTTCATTCAAATTGGTGCTTTAATCAAAGTGATGATGCTTACACCATTACATAAGAAATATTTCTGAGTCAATCCAACAGTTGTAAGTATATGAATTTTCCACATGATGTGCTACCTACTGGGTAGTTAACCCTGATGAATTCATAATTTCTTCCCCTTGTTGATTTGAATTTAGGTGAGGAAACACTTCTGCTTTTTGAGCTCTGAATCCAATAGAATCACATGCCTTTACCTCTTTTCTGTAACTGTACTTTTAAAAAATGCACGCCCTTCCTAAGAAAATAGCTTGTCTTTAAGTCAAATTGCACACGCAGCACTGTGGCCATTACAATGAAGACAAATTGCCTCATTAGTAGAATGTGCTTCTCCTCAAGGGACAAATCTAGGGGTTTATATTTTTGGCAACTTCTGAGAAAAATCTCAGAAGGCTGCTAGATATCCCTCTTTGTCTCGGTGGACTATGATTTACAACCTTTTTTTAAAAAATCATTTTTATGGGATCAGCACCATGGCATAGTGGGTAAAGCTGCCACCTGCAGCACTGGCATTCCTTATGGGCAGCAGTTTGAGTCCCGGCTGCTCCACTTCCGATTCACCTCCCTGCTAATGGCCTTGGAAAACAGTGGAAGATGGCCTGAGGCTTTGGGCCTCTGCTACCTATGTGGGAGACTCTGGAGAAGCTCCTGGCTCCTGGCTTCAGCCTGGCTAAGCACTGGCCCTCTGGGGAGTGAACCAGTGGATGGATGATCTCTCTTTCTGTCTCTCCTGCTCTCTCTCTGTAACTCTGACTTTGAAAAAAAAATAAATCTTTTTAAAAAATCATTTTTATGTGCTACTTCATGTTTGAGCAAATGCTTCTCTGGGTTGTGTTTGTCAGATAATTTTTGTTTTATACAGAAACTTAGAGCTATAATGCTTTCTGTGAAAATTATTGGACGTGTGCATTACCCATGTGTTAAAATAGGAGAAGACTGGTTATGACTATGAAAACATGGCCTTGGAGCTGTCATTTCATCAGTCCAGCACTTGGCTTCCTGCCAGGCCCTCGCTGTTGACTTCTCTCCTCTGTCTCTGCAGGCTGGGAGGTGATGATACCCGTTTTGAGGTTGACATGGCCAGGAACGGATGTGAAGTGCATCGGTTCGATCCTAGCGTGAAGTCAGCTCACGTTCTGGAGAGCCAGCGCCTCTGGCATCACCGCTTGTCCATCACCTGGAGGGACCCCCATCCAGCGGTTGCTGCTCAGAGATCGCATGGCAGTGCCAGAAAGCTGGGGAGCATTTTGAATGAATTTGGGCATCACAAGGTGAGACTTCTCACGTGTTTTCATCAGTAAGCGAAGAGAAAAAACCCATACACTGCAGGATTTTGTTTTTATTTTTTAACATAAACCAAGAATAACCACATTGACACTGGACAGCTGAAGGTCCAGTTTCAGGGTTACCAATCACGCAATGTGATTTATAGAGCCAATTCGGTAGAAATAGAGCTTTGACAAAGAAGGAGATATTTAAATTGATTCGATGGTATTAGTTGCTGTTGAGTAATGCTAAGGTCTTAGCCAAGACTTGGCAGGAATATAAGAAGCGTAGACTGAAGAATACTGTTTCCTTTTGTTGGTTGGCTTGAAGTGTCCAGAATAAATTTCCTATGTCAGCCTCAAATACAAAAAGTAATCAGAGCCAGGTTTATGTTTGATAAGAGATTGCTTGTGTGTGATATTTTCCACTGTTGTGATATGTTGCTCACTTTATTGAGCTGATAAGCATTTAAAATGCATAAAATATGTGTAGCTCTGATGAAAACTGAATAGGCATCATATATGCTATAATGTCTAGTCTGTGTATTCATGAAGGATATTGATAAGGTTTACATCTGTACCCCAAAGGTGTATGTGTTAGAAGCTTGGTGCATAGTGATGTCACGAGGTGGTGGGAACCCTTAAGAGGTGGGAGCTATGGGAGGTCCCCAGACAGGATGCAGGCCACTTCTGCGGGCCCCCGAGCAAGCCTGACTCCTGCTCCACTGTCCACTTGCTGTTTGAGCTGTGATCTGTTCCTTCTACTCACGGTCCTGTGTCCGTGATGCCATCACCAGAGGCCAAACCCACAGGCCCACCGGATTTGGGACTTTGAACCTCTAAAAGTATGCGCTAAATAGCGCTTCCCTGCCCCCTTTAAGAAAGTTAGCCTGCCTCATACCTGAGTACAAGGAGAAATGGCCTAATACGGTTGTGAAATCCCCGCAAATATTTTATTCTAACTGGACAAGCAAAAATCTCAATCTTTTCTAAAAATTGCGTTTAATTTTTTTTTTTTTTTTTTTCGAGAGAGCTCCCAACTAGTGGTTCACTTCTCAAATGCCTTCTCAGAAATAGTCAGGGAGCCCAAGCTGGGAGCTAGGAACTTAATCCAGGCAGGTGGCAAGAACGCAGCTACTGGAGTCACCCCCTGTTGCCTCCCAGGGTCTGCATTAGCAGGAAGCTGGAATTAGAGGCAGGAAGCAGATGTTGAACCCAAGCACTTGGAGGCACATCTTAACCGCTAGGTCAAACACTCACCCCAAAAAGCTCAACCTTTGAACTGTATCCCCTAAAAGCAACTTCGAGGATAGCACCCCCAAGCTGATTGCAGTCTGTAGGCAGTTGGCTCAAGAGATCCCCGGTGCGGTGGGTTTGTTAGCCGATCCTTCTTGGGTAATGATCTATCCTAGCCTGCCAGAGACACCCTGTGATTCGGAGCGTGTCAGAATGTGTGTTTCTGTCTGAGAAACTGTGCATGGCACTGAATTTTAAACTTGAACTGGTTTCTTGATCTTTAATAAAAGGGCTTTTCCCTGGTCTTGTTCTTTCTCCTCCTGCTCCTCCTCCTCTTCTTTTCTGTAAAACTCCCTTTAATTAGTCAGCTGAGGCTTCTTCAAGAACAACTTCAAAGGACTTGCTGTTCTTTTAACTTGCGATTCACTATTGATTTGTGTTTTGCTTTGCCGCTGGGAATCACCAGCATTTAATAGTCAGGGGCCTTAATGAAACACGCATAGGAATTGGGGGGGGGGTGGATCTCAGAACCAATGCTTCCTCTTTTCACATGCTAATGCTTTTTAAAATATGGGTGAGAAGAAGCAGAAGCATTTTTCAGAACTTTGTTTTCTTTCTTTGCTACCTGTCACCTCTGTAGACCTGCGTTTCGCAGCTGGGAATCTTGTCTGTCAACTCCAGATGATTGAAAGAGCTTTCCTTACTCTGTGTTCAGGTAGGAGTCTTGCTGCTTCTCCTTCATGCCCTTCACATCCAAGCCCGGTCAAGGGAAAGACAGTAGGCAAACAGAGGTAGAACACCATGCCATTTGGCTTCTTTTAATAATATTTTAGCAAAGGACTTGGCAAGGATGGGGCTAAAATAAGAGTTCGAGAAAGTTCTCTGTGGATTAATCCATGGGACCATTTAGCTCCCTGGGGGCTGCAGTGGGCAAACCTTTGTGCAGAGAATAAAGCACTCAGCTTTTTGCAACATGCCTTCCAAGAAAGCAGCAGTATTTACAGTGATACCTAAAAAGGGGGAAATGCTTTAAAGGATTGCTTCTCTTCCTACGGCTACTTTTTTTTGTTAGCGACATTAGCAGTGAAAGTGGTCTGGCTCAGAATGGCTTGGTGTCCATTTGCTGCTGGGGGTTGGGGGGATGTACCGAAAATAACCCTTTTTGAAGAATTTAAGAGATACTTATCTTTCACAGAGGTGTTTTTTGGGGAGGATGCTTTAAAATAAAAGTAATACTCATTGGATTCTATTTGGAATGCACTTCCAGGAGCTACGAGGGGCCAGATCAAAGGAAACCTTGTTTATGGCTCGTAGCAAACAGACATTTTTCGTGTTTTCATGTTTCTGCATGTGTATACACGCTGGTAAATAAGATGTGACTGTGGCAGGGGAGGCAAGGAGAGAAAGCACATTTAAAAACGTCAGTGCTGTGACCTGGCCTCCTTCACTCCTGCATCCTGGAAGTGACTGGAGAAGCCAAAGCATTTGTTGTTGTTTGGTGTTTTCTTCCTGACTTTGAATTTGTGATAATGTCCATGCTGGGCTGTGGTTTGTCTTCTTCCCTTCCTCTATACCTATATTCCAGCCACGCAAGCAAAACCAGCCAAAAACGAAAGACCGTGTTGTGAGAGAGTGACAGAGATGCATGCAGCTTTCGGACTGCCTTTAAAACTCTTTGCTAATTTTAACTTCAGACCATAAATCAAGAAGTTCTTCTGACGGACCCAGCAGGGGCAGCTGCATCAGCAAAACAGCAGGGCCCAGAAGCCCAGCCTGACAGGGAATAAAATCACCTGGCCCTGGCGATATTGGCAATGGTTCCCTGTTGACTTCTTGCTGGGCCGGTCATTGCTGTTAGCTAAGCATTCGCATTTTTTCCCCAGAATGACTAGAAATATTGAACCTGAAGTTTCTTTTCATGGTCATCATAGTGGATGATGTTTTTGTTACATGGGTAGATTCCATTAAATGATTCAGGCTAGTTAATTTGAGATGCTGATGACGTCAGTCTTTATGTTGCTGCTGATCATAGGAGCAATGGGGCTGTCTGGGGGTTTGCCTCTGAGAACTTACCCGTCTAGGTTTGAAGCATGGGTCCTCTCGACAGCTTTCGGCGTTAAGCAAACCATTGAACCTCCTTGAACGTTTGATTTAACTCTCAGTAAATTGAGTCCCATAACACTGCCTGCACCGCAGCCTGGTTTTTGAGAATTAGCTCTGAGAACGTGGCGTGAGTCTCCAGCCTGGCATAAATTAGTCTCTCAGTTGTTTCTAGCAAATTCGAAGAATTCTTATGAACAGTTTCAGGAAATTTTTACTAAATGCTGTAGAAAATATTGTACCCCACTCTTTGTTTTCGAGGAAAACCCATTAGAGATTTTCTTTGGAAATTGCTAACCGTACCTAATTCAGTTAAGAGTTTTCAGCGAAAGCCTTGTGTGAAAGTGAAGAGCGATTGGTCCCTCAGACACAGTTGTGGAAAATGACCATTGGCTGCCCAGGGATGCCGAGTGGCTTTGCTGGGGACTGAATAGAAAGTAAATCCTATGCCATGTAGAAATGGAATACGCCATTGGGAATTAACTGGGAGTGGTTCAGAGTAGGTGGAGACAACAGTGAGTGCCTGTCAGCTCCGGCTTGGGTCCTTGTCACTACCCGAGGCGGCAGCGTGTTGGGGACAGCAGCTCAGTGTCCCCTTGGGGGTCTTACAGGCCCAGGGTTTCTGCCTTCCTGGGCTGGGTGCTTATTCCAAACATTAGTTTTGTTGGGTGGTGACTGCTGTGATTGAGAGAATATGGACTTTGAAGTTGAACTACAGAAGATCGCCTTTTCCTTTTCATTTTGCTTATCAAATTGGCAAGCATAAACAAGTTACACTGCCCTGTATTGGAATACGTGTTTGGAATAATACTCAGCTTTCCCACTGGAAATGGAAATGAAATTCTCATTCAGTAAGAAAATTCAGTAAGAAAATACATAATACATGTATGTATTATGTCACTTTTTGTTCCTAGAAATATTTTTCTCTTTTTTTCTGATATTAGTTCTGCAATATTAGCCCTCTCTCTTTTAAAAAAATTAATTATTTGAGAGGCAGAGAGAGAGAGGGAGAGGGAAAGAGAGAGAGAGAGAGAGAGAGAGAGAAAGAGAGGGAGAGAGGGAGAGTGAGAGGGAGAGAGGGAGAGAGAGAGAAAGCACTCCCAGCTACTGATTCCCTCTCCAAACGCCCACAACAGTTGGGGCTGGGCCAGGTGGAATTCAGGAACCCAGACCTCCATCTGCCACTTGGATGGCGGGGACCCAAATACTTAAACCGTGATCTGCTGCCTCCCAGAGTGCACATTAGTAGGAAGCTGGAAGTGCAGTAGCCAGGAACTCAAACCAGACACTCCAGCTTGGGATGTGGGTGTCCCAAGCAGTGGCTTGGCCAACTGTAGCACAATGACCGCCCTGGAATTCTACCTTCTGTTTTGAAAGAATTTCAGATATAAAATTTGCTAAAATAATACAATGAACTTCCCTGTGTTTTTCACTGAGATTTACCGGTTGTTAATATTTTTTCGTATTTGCTTTCTTTGTCTCTACATAGATACACCATACACACACACACACACACACACACACACAGTACTTCAGAAAGTCTGTCAAAAAAAATGGATTTAAAACAAATTTATTTTCATGCAAAAATTTTTTGCAACCCATACAAACTTTTCCCATGAAGTCTTTGTTATATGCTCATCTCTATATAATACTTATCTCTACAAATTAAA